GATGTGTCCTAGCATGGTGACTTCTGACTGTCAGACAATTTTGTACCACCTTCAAGATTCTTGACAAACTACATGCTGTCTCTACTCTTTCTCCTAGAATATTGTTCTTGAAATTGGCTTATTTAAGACCTAAATTAATTTACATTTTTTTATTTTTAAGATTTTATTTATTTGGGGGGGGGTTGGTATGCAGAGGGAGAGGGACAAGCAGACTCCCTGCTGAGCAGAGGCCTGACACAGGGTTTGATCATGGGGTTCAGTCCCAGGACCCCGGGATCATGACCTGACCTGAACTCAGACACTCAACTGACTGAGCCACCCAGGCACCATATGACCTAAATGAATTTACTTTTATTTTTTTTTAAATATTTTTTTAAGAGTTTATTTATTGGGGCCCCTGGGTAGCTCAGTCAGTTAAGCGTCTGTCTTCTGTTTGGGTCATGATCCCAGGGTCCTGGGATCCAGCCCTGCGCTGGGTTCCCTGCTCAGTGGGAAGCCTGCCTCTCCCTCTCCCATTCCCCCTGCTTGTGTTCCCTTTCTTGCTGTCTCTCTGTCAAATAAAGAAATAAAATCTTTTAAAAATTTTTTAAAAATTAAAAGAATAAGAGTTTATTTGAAAAAGAGAGAGCGCATGTGTGCATGAGCGGGGGGAGGGGCAGAGGGAGAGGGAGGAGCTGACTCCCTGCTGAGCTGGGCACCCAATGTGGGGCTCCATCCGAGGACCCTGGGATCATGACCTGAGCTGAAGGTAGATGCTTAACCGACTGAGCCACCCACTGCCGAAATAAATTTACTTTTAAATTAAACTTTACGTCATCACCTCAAATAAAAAACTAGTTTCTTTTACCATAAATATAAAGTCACCATAAAATAAATACAATAAAAATAAAGTGTTAGTGGGTTGTCTAGGGGGAGATCTCCGCCAAAGGCTCTGTGCCTGGGGCTGCTCTATCTTCCTTGCAAAGGGAAATATGCAAGTATCAGAGCAGATGTTAGATATACTGGCAGTAAACGTGAATTTCTCCTGGTGTAATCAGAATGGCTGAAACACACTTGAAAAGGCAATTACTTTCCCCCTCCAAGTGAATCCGTGTTTTCTAATGGTGACCACAGACCACAGGCGGCCTGGCTGTCACACCTGAGCACACACACGAGTTACCTGGGGTCTTGTTAAAACCCAGACGGCTGATGCACTAAGTCTGGGCTTCGGCCAGAAAGGTGCATTTCTTTTTTTTTTTTTTTAAGATTTTATTAATTTATTTGACACAGAGAGAGATCACAAGTAGGTGGAGAGGCAGGCAGAGAGAGAGAGAGGAGGAAGCAGGCTCCCCGCTGAGCAGAGAGCCTGATGCGGGGCTCGATCCCAGGACCCTGGGATCATGACCTGAGCCGAGGGAGAGGCTTTAACCCACTGAGCCACCCAGGCGCCCCAGAAAGGTACATTTCTAAAAGTTCCCACGTCATGGAACTGCTGCTGGTCTGGGGAACCACTTCGGGGGCCACTGCTCTCACCCCGCCATCTCTCATTTTAGGAGACAGTGGACTGGGGAAGCTGACAGGTACAAACCAAAAACCACTGCAACCCTCAGACAGGTGCTCACATACTTCCTACGGTTGATGGCAGTTTTTCCCCCCGAAGAGCAACAAGCCCCGGGGGCCCGGTACTAGCCACCCTACTAGCAGTGTTATAATCTCTAGAACTTCTCAGATCTCTCTGAGGAAACCTGAATTACAGTTTGGGCAGAAAGGGAGTATCCACACCTGTGTGTAACAACTCCCCCACCCCACCCCTGTACCGGTCAGTGAGTAGGTGAGAGATCAAGTTACTTCCTGAGGAAAACCCCTCCATACAACTTCTCCAAGAGCTTAATTCCAGGAGATAAGGGAGTGGTGATGTCAGAGAGGCAGAGGGGGGCCTGAGCCACGGGGAATGTGAATTTTATTCCGACAACAGGAAGTCATGGGATCATTGAAGCAGGAGAAGGCAAGGAGGGTTCTTGGTGGTCTCAGCTAAAGGAGCTGCTCTCCCCACCTGACCACAGGCCCCCCAGTTCGTTTCCTCCATGACCTTCCTCACAACATGAGCTTACTTGGCCTGTTTGTTGGTTTGGTTGTCTGTTGTCCACCTTCCTGGAGAACTTCCTTGCTTTGTTCACTCCTTTATGCCCTGCAGAGCAGATGGCACATAGCAAGTGCTGGGTAAACATTTATAGAACAAAAGAAAGAATGGGCAAGTGCCATTCAGTTTGCTCGAGGTGCAGAGTCCAGGGAATGCGAAGTAAATGAGATATGGTCCTGGGTCTTCAGATTCACAGTGTTTTTGGATAACTTATCTCCCAAAAGTTGGCTGTCACAATCGAATGATTTGTAGAAGAGAAAATAAAATTCATAAAGCAATGTGAGGAAAATACTCTTCACTCATTTCAAGGACATGCTACTAGCAAAATAAAATGCAATAACATTTTACATCCTTAAAAATGCCTGCATGGATAATATCCAGTTCTGGTGAGGGTACAAATAATTTCATAAGCTTACAAAGGCTATATTCCCTTCAAAAGGACATTCAGCAACAGATAGTAAGAGCTATAAAAAATGGTTTTGCAGGGGGCACCTGGGTGGCTCAGCCGGTTAAGCATCTGCCTTCGGCTCAGGTCACAATCCCAGAGTCCCGGGATAGAATCCCTCAGCGGGCTCCCCATTCAGGGGGGAGTCTGCTTCCCCCTCTGGCCCTTCCCTCTCACACTCTTTCTCTCACTCTCTCTCCAATAAATAAATAAAATCTTTTTTAAAATGTGTTTTTTTGACTGAGAAATAACTGAGAAATTCACTTCTGAGACTTTATCCTAAGGAAACACTTTCAGATGAATGCAGAATTATATGTACATACTATTAATACACAAAACAACAGGGATGAGTCTCAGAATAATTATGCTGAGTAAAAGAAGCCAGACCAAAAAATAAAAATCCCCAAACCCAGTACATCCATATGATTCCATTTCTATAAAATTCTAGAAAATGCAAACTAATCTATAGTGACAGGAAGCAGATTAGTGGTTACCTCAAACGGGGGGTGTATGGAAGGACAGGCACAAAGCTTTTGGAGATTATGAGAACATTTGGTATGTTGATTATGATCATCATTTCGTAGGTATATGCCCATATCACAACTTTAAAATAATTACATAAATTATTATATATAAATTGTACATAGGTACATTTTACATAAATTGTAAAAGAAAGGACTGATATACACAGTAATATGGATGAATTTTGAAATCATTGTACCAAGGAGGAGCTTCAGACATAGGCTAGTACATACCCTATTACTCCATTTATACACATTTTTAGAAAAAGCAAACTAATCTCTAGTGACAAAAAGGAGGTCAGTCATTGCCTGGGGTTGGGGGTGGAGGGAGGAATGGGCTGCACAGGGGCAAGAGGAAACTTTTGGGTGTGAGAGAAATGTTCTGTATCATGATTATAATGGTGGTTTCACATATATACACATCTATCAAAACTCACTGAATTTTACATGTTAAAGGGATCCGTTTATTGATGTAAGTTAGGCCTAACTCAGTAAAGCAAATTTAAAAAGAGAAAAGGTGGGGCGCCTGGGTGGCTCAGTGGGTTAAGCCACTGCCTTCGGCTCAGGTCATGATCCCAGGGTCCTGGGATCGAGTCCCGCATGGGGCTCTCTGCTCAGCAGGGAGCCTGCTTCCCTCTCTCTCTCTCTCTGCCTCCCTCTGTCTACTGTGATCTCTCTCTGTCAAATAAATAAATAAAATCTTAAAAAAAAAAATAAAAATAAAAATAAAAAGAGAAAAGGTGAAAAAGAGGCTTTGATTTAACTTCTGGGGCCAGGATCCTTCAAGCTGAGAGTAACAGCGCAGGTTTCTTTGTTTGGGAAAAATATTTAAATGAGCCTCTTGGCTATATAAGAGTAAACCCAAAATCCTACTCCTGAACGGAGACTTTTCGGACCACAAGGAAGCAATCTTCTCTGTAATAATATAAAAAAAAAATTGGTCTTCACTAAGGTGAGAGGTAAAACTCTGGCTAATATTCCCAAGGGGTGACTGGATTCACCCTCTGGCAGGCCTGGGCCCTGGGAGAGCTGTGGTTCTGAGCTGTAGGGAGAGAGGCCTGGGTTCAGAAGGCCCCTCTCTGAGTGACAGGCCTGGTTCCCAGAAGGTGGCAAGAAGTCAGGGGTTCAGGGACAAGAGGTGAGTCGAGGAGCTGGGAGCAGACGGCCAGCCAGAGAACAACCAAGGAGTGAAAACATGTAGTCATCTGTTTTAAGTTTTTCCTTTTTTGCACTGAATTTCCCCCTCCTGGAGTGGTCACCCCCAAGCCTTCAGTAAAGTTAGGCTAAATGCTACAGTTGGAGATCGAGTGTGTTTGAGGGCATGAATGGGGGGCCTTGTCTAGGTAAAGTGCTATGTGGAGAGCCATGGAAACCTGGAGACAGGATTGCAAAGTTGCTCAAAGTGGCCTTCGGGGAGGCCAACCAAAAGCTAAGGCCACAGTGTGGAGAAACCACGGTAGAGCCCCCCAGGGATTCTTGAAGCTACAGTGGGAGGAAACTGCATCTCCACGTTCAAATGGCAGGGAGTGGCCCACAGATGCTCCCATGGGGTGTTCAAAGGAATGGTGACCTCCTAACAGGTGGTCGCCCGGGGACAGCTGGGGTATAGAGATTAACTGCTCCCCCACCCCACACCACCTCCCAAGGATATTTAGGCTGTTTTGAACTATTTTGGACTATAATAATTTGGGTAGAATATTTTGAACAGAAAAATGTTCTCTAAGGCCAGGCCCACTTCTTTTATCTCAAAAGTTCAGAAGAGACTTATGGTATGGGACCAAACCCCAACAAGTAATTGCCTCTGGTTCACTGACGTCAGTTAATGACTGGACTTTGCACCCAAAAGCGAGTTAAAAACTAAAGACGGTTGAGGGGAAGTCATTTCCTCCTTGGATAGCCCAGCAAGAACGTCAAAATGAGAGCCCTTGCTCACCTCACTCTTCTCAGCCTCGTTTTTGCAACCTCAGGTAAGAAACATTTTACAGTTTTTTTTAATGATTGCTATTTTTACATTTCATTTTTTTAAAATGATTTTATTGATTTATTTGAGAGAGAACTGGCGCAAGCACAGGAAGCAGGGAGGGGCAGAGGGAGAAGCAGACTCCCAAGCAGGGACCACCCCCCATCCCAGGCAGGACCCTGGGATCAAGACCCTGGAATCATGACTTGAGCCAAATAGACGCTTAACCTACAGACCCACCTAGGTGCCCAACGTTTTTACTATTTTTAATTCTTTTAATCACATTTGCTGTCTTGGAGCTAGAACCAGCAGGCTTACTGTACCAGTTCTGTGGCCCAGCAGGCTATTTTCTGACTCTGCTCAAAGACATAGGGCATTTAAGTCTGAGGTGAAGGAAGACAGAGCAGAAGTCAAGGGGTCTCTGGACTATGGGGTGTGGGGTTCAGCAAGTCAGAGATTTGTCCTCCAGAGTTCCTCAGGCCAGACAAGCACAAATCAGTAGATTCAAAAGGTCTGGTGCCTGGTAGCCTTTCGTTTGGCCCCTACAGGGTCTGGTTTAATTTCTGGTTCTAGCTAGCATCAGCAGTCCTCTGACCGCTTCTCCATGGGAATTAAGGCTTACCTCTGGGCAAATCCCTAAACCCCTCTGGATAGTGGGGGGCTCTTCTGTCAAATGTGGATACTTGTATCAATTTCACAGTCACTATCTGGCATAGGGGGTAGGCCCTTGTTAGATGAAAAGAGAAGCAGAAATCGGTCAAGATGAGCCGTTTCCTTGCTGCTAGAAGACCCATTTTTTATCTCTTTAACCTTCAATGATTATTTGAGCCAGACCCTGTTGAAGGTGAAGACCCAGATTCTGTCGGGGTGGGCGGGTGGGGGGGGGCACTCACAGACCCAGGGGCCATCAGCAGGTTTTTTGGTTTTGGTTTTTTGTTTTAAATATGACGGTTTAGGAATTGCTTCCTCACTAAAACTTTTTTTGTTTTGTTTTCTCACTAAAGCGTTTAATAATTTTTTTTAACCGGTTGTCAATGTCAGAGTTCTTTGAGACAATGAAGGGTTCCGGAAGACTAATCACTGGACCACCAAGAGTTTACTTTTCCATGTGTTCAGGGATTCCTAAGAGTTGAAAAAAGGCAATTCTGATGATCACTGTAGCCCTTAGGGCAAAGATCATCTCTATTCATCCTACTCTTTAAAAAAATTAATGTGTCTAAAATTATTAATGGGTAAACATCACTAGAAAGAAAATTTGGGAAGAAAGTTTTAATACACACTTAATGAAGTATTTTTGTTTCATCACTTTTTTTAAGATTTTATTTTTTTGTTTGACAGACAGAGATCACAAGTCTGCAGAGAGGTGGGGGTGGGGGAAGCAGGCTCCCTGCTGAGCAGAGAGCCCACCTCCGGGCTTGATCCCAGGACCCTGAGATCATGACCTGAGCCAAAGGCAGAGGTTTTAACCCACTGAGCCACCCAGGCTCCCCTCATCGTTCTTTTAAACACGCTCCCTTTCCAACCCTCCCTAAAATGCTTTATAAATGGGAAATGAGGACAATTGCCTCAAAAGGAGGCCACTTTTGGGTAGTAATAGCACCCCCTGCTGGCGCTTTCAGATGTCCTCACAGAGGACTACTCAGGAGTGTTAAAAAGCCAGATTCGTAGTTCAGCAACTGCAGAAAGAAAAGATGTAACTTCTTGGTATTCATCTTCATACATATTAACTTTTCGTAACAGATTTCAATAACATTTTTTCCAATTTTGTCTGTTTAATTTTTAATTTTATTTATTATAGGGATCTGTGTGTGTGTTCGAAGCAGTCCTGTATTTTCCTGTTTGTTTGTTTTTCTAAGATTTTATTTATTTGTCAGAAAGAGAGAGAGCACAAAGAGGGGGGGTGGCAGGCAGAGGGAGAAGCAGGCTCCCCTCTGAGCAAGAGACCCGATGCAGGACTCAATTCCAGGACGCTGGAATCATGTCCTGAGCCAAAGGCAGATGCTTACTGACTTAGCCACCCAGGTGTCCCATGTATTTTCATTTTTAATGTAGTCACCTATATTTGTTTTTCAGAAGAGCATGATTGGGTACTCATAATATGAAATAGTAGCAACTGCCAGTATATATTGAGTGTTCTGCCTTCTGAAACTTGGTATCTCTGTTCCCCCAGTTGTCCAGTCAACCACAACCAACGTGGCCACTTCAGGCATGAATACAGCTACCACCATACCAACTTCATCTGCTACTCCAACTTCGTCTACTACTCCCACAGAAGTGTCATCTTCTTCTCCCACAGAGGTGCCATCTACTAATCCCACAGGATCTCCGTTACCTACTGCCACTCCCATGGTTCCTGTATCAAGTTCAGTTCCAGCCTCCATGGTCACACCTACAGAAAATAAAACAAACACAACTGCTAAAACAACACCTATAGCTGCCACTAACACCATCCCCCCTGGAAGTGGCAATTTGGGTTCAACTGCTCCTCCAACAAGTAATGGATCGACCATCACCCCAGGCACACAGAATAATTCCTCAGAGGCTGTTACTCCAGTGACTTCTGACAGCATCACTTTGTCCACAATCAGCACCCCAAGCCCCAGTCCCACAGGTAAGAGCGATTCCTTCCCTCAGAGACTGCTTACTTGTGGAGCCAGGACATTGTGGAGGACAGTAGGTAAGTGTGTTCTGCAGGCGGAGACAAGTGGGTATATAGACACCCAAGGTTTCCCTGACCATGAACCCCTGGAATTAAAAACACTGAGTCACAAAGGCTAGTAGTGATGGCAGAGACCCTAAAAGCTAAGCCACAGTTTCATTCTGCTCTCCTTTCCTTCCCACTTGCTGCTTGAAGCTAGATGTGGAATGTTTTTATGAATGTGGACATTATGCCAGCTACTTCTCCAGGAGATTTTTTAGAAATAATTTCAGCTTCTCTGAGAAGGCCAGATCCCAACAAGCACTGCCTTGCCAGCCACACTTGTCTAGCTACCTGATCTACCCAAGGAAGGAGTCTGTTCTTCCCTGACTCCTCAATAGTATTAGTGAAAAGTGGGACATTATGATGGTGGACGATCACAGTCTGGAATTTGAGTTAATTCATGAAATTGGAGCCTGAGGAATAAAATGCCAAACAACAGCAGTGCTCAGACAGCTCTAGACATGAATTGGGGCCATTGTCCAAAGGACAGATGTTTTGGGACTACTAAGAGATGGCAGTCTGACCTCAAGCCAGAATTATTGAAACTACTTGCCTCATTTCCCAAAGTTTGGTCTAGAATAGGGGTCAGCCAACTTTATCAGTAAAGGCAAACTAGTAAATATTTTAGGTTTTGCGGGCCACAGTAGGATTTCTGTTGGGACTACTCCCCTCTGCCATTGTAACACAAAAGCGGTCACGGTCAACATATAGAAGAATGAGCCTGGCAGTATACCAGTAAAATGCTATTTACAAAAACTGAAGACTAGGCAGATTTGGCTCATAAGTCATAGTTGGCCAACCCCTGGTCTAAAATAATCCTCAGATCTAGGCTTGAAGGGTCTACATGAACCCTGTCATTTTCAGGGAAACTGAGGCCCAGCAAGGGCAGCAACTTGCCCAAGGTCAAAGAGCGAGCTGATGTCCCCCTACACTGACTACTTTTGCTTTCCCCAGTGTTCTTTGACAGATCTGAGAGATGGATGATGAAGCAAGTGGAGCTAGAGCCTGTACAGGGCACCTGGTTCCCAGCCTGCTTTCATGTTTGAAGGGCCCACTCTGAAGGCTAGGCCACCTGGGGTACAGCTGCAAGACCAGCTCCACTGGAGTCAGGAAAGGGAGCTCTTCGAAGCCATTCCTGCTTACCCAGACATTCTCCTGGAGTAGGGCAGCCGCCTTGTGTCCTGGCCCAACCACTAGCTCACTGTGGGCAGGGGAGCAAATTCCTCTCTCTCGGCTTCAGCTTCCCCAGCCATAATAAGGTGTGACTGAACTAAATAGCCACAAAAATCCCTTCCAGCTGTACCGTCCTGTACCCTTATTCCTGGCATGGAAGACCAGCGGACAGGTCTGTCCTTTACTGCTGGAAAGAAGCCATACCAGAAGTTATTTGTCTGGTGAATCCTGAGTGGAGTTGACTCCATTTCTTCCCTGGGATTGTCCAAAGCATCCTTGCTTACTTAAGGCTGAGCCTTTAAAAAAAAAAAAAAACCAACCCTTTTATTTTACTTAAAATGTTAACTCGTGCCTTGTTAGAGGGGTGGTGGCCCTGCTGTTTTTTATGAAATACTAAGTGCTCAGCACTTGCTTTGTCCCAGGAAGGCTTTTTTTTTTTTTTTTAACTCTTTTAAAAGAATTATTTTAATAGACTTTATTTTTTAGAGCAGTTGTAGATTCACAACAAAATGGAGAGGAAGGTACAGAGCTCTCCCATATATTTCCTGCTTCCACACGTGCATAGCCTCCCTCATTATCAGCACCCCTCCCCAGAGGGTACATTTGTGACAACAGGTGAACATTCACTGGCACAGCAGCGTCATCCAAGGTCTGCAGGCTATGCTAGGGCTCCCTGTTGCTGCTGCATATTCTGTGGGTTTGGACAAATGTATAATGTATAATGACCTGTATCCAGCATGCGGTATTGTAGAACATTTTCACCACCCTACCAATTGACTGTGCTCTGCTTACTCATCCCCAAACCAGCCCCCCAACTCCTGGCAACCAGTGATCTTTCCACTATTGCCACTTTGGGTATAGGCGTCCATGGTTTTGCCTCTTCCAGAAAGTCATGTAGTTGGACTCATGTGTTAGTCTTTCCAGGTTGGCTCCTTTCACTCAATACTATGCACTTAAGATTCTTCCATATCTTCTCATGCTCGATGGCTCATTTCTTTTTAACTCTGAATAATATCCCACTGTCTGAATGTACCACAGTTTTACCCATATCACCTACGGCAGAACATCTCGGTTGCTTCCAAGTTTGGGGGATTACGAATAAAGCGGTCATAAATACTCCTATGCAGGTTTTTGAGTGGACACGTTTTCAACTCCTTTGGGTAAATACCAAGGAGTGCACTTGCTGGATCCTATGCTAAGAGTATGTGTAGCTTTGTAAGAAACTGTCAGACTGTTTTCCAAGGTGGCTGTACCATTTTGCTTTCCCACCAGTATGAGAGTTCTCGTTATTCTGTATCTTCATCAGCACCATTTTGTCTTTGATTTCTTTAAAAAAAGTGCATTAGGGGGCGCCTGGGTGGCTCAGTGGGTGAAAGCCTCTGCCTTCGGCTCAGGTCATGATCCCAGGGTCCTGGGATCGAGCCCCGCATCAGGCTCTCTGCTCAGCAGGGAGCCTGCTTCCCTTCTTCTCTCTTTGCCTGCCTCTCTGCCTACTTGTGATCTCTGACTGTCAAATTAAAAAAAAAAAAGTGCATTAGACCCACAGTTATGGAAGGAAAGAAGCTTAAACAGTGCAAAAGTATATGCAGTAGGCTCCAGATCCCCTCCTATCCTAAACCCCTAGGACACACACCCCTGCTCCCTTCCCCAGAGGCAACTTTTGTGGCCGGTTTCTCTTCTCTTTCTCCAGAGGAATGTGTGCAAATATAAGCATACATACTTAATATGTTTGTGCATATCCTTTTTTATCACAAAAGAGAAGATGCTCTACACATTCTATCTTATATATAGTTTTTTTTTAAATCAACAGTTTTTATTGTTCGTAAGGTTCGTAAGAACATTAACACTTATCAGTCACTCAAACTTTTCTCGAATCAAAGCTCAGAATCATTTCATTTGACAGAGATGGAGAAAATGGCCAGCCAAGTGAACTATCTTCCTCCGACTTAACTCTACTCCCCGTTCCTACCACTTCTCCAGAGAGAGGAAAGATGTTGTGCCCTACCTGGTCTGAGAGCACCAGCCAGTGGTGTAGAAACCATTGCAGTAATTCCCAGCGTCCATTCAAGTCATCCACTCAGAAAGCCGGGGGTGGGATGTGCCCTCATCACTTCCTCTGAGAATTTTCACTGAGTTAATTTGCAAAGTCCCCTTATCAGACCTTTCCTCTCTTCGTGTGTCTGTATGCCTTGTATGCTAACCCAAAGAGAGTACCTCATTTCTTTTGGGGGGCTTCCTGCCTGTCCTTCCTTGTAAGACAGTTATGCATACTTCCCTAGAAAATAGGATGCTTTCTTTCAAATGGTACTAGGAAGCTCTGTCTAGTGTTAGAAGCCAGAGATGCTAAAGATGGAATCAGGAGACTGCTGTCTCTCTGAGCAGACTCTTGCCCACCCACCTCTGTCTTTACTGTTGACAAGCATCTGGCTCCAGAATTTCCACAAAAAAACTATCTAGAGGCATCCGCTCTTCTAAAGGTGTACCGCGGATTAACACAACCAAAGAACAGAACATGCCTAGGAGGCAGGCATGAAGATTTTTAAGTCTGTTTCTGGGTGTAATCTGTTGTCATTCTGTGGATTTGTAACCTCTTTTTCCTCTCTCTCAGCTCCCATGACTCCTTGCCAAAGAGCTCCCTGTCAAAATGGTTCTTCATGTGTTAGCCTGTACAATACCGATTTTTGCCTGTGCTCATTGGGATATTACTATAACTCTTCCACCTGCAGAAAAGGTGAGTTATAAGGGATGAACCCTGCAGAGCTGCATTTCAGACCTAAAGTGGAGTAGAAAATGCAAAATAATGTAAAAAAAGAGCCTCCAGAGTAGTAGTAGAGGATAATTTATGGGCAACAGAGGCTGCTGCTTTTATCTCGGTGGAAACTAGAGGGACCACAAGGATTAGAGATAGTCCAAAAGCCAAACAGGTGTTCATATTTCAGCACTAATAATCTCATTTCTGGGATCCACTCTAAGTAAATGACCCCAAAGATAGGTTTGTGCATAGATGTTGGCTGCAAACATTTTTTTTTCCTTTTAAATAATCAGTAGCATGAAAACCGAAAAATGACTATCAATGAAGATAACACTTTTTTCATAGAGTATTATACAGTCTCTGAAAGCAATAGTTACGAAAAAAAATAATAGTGATGGGGAAGGCGCCCAGCTGGCTCAGGTGGTAGAGCAGTTCTTGATCTCAGGGTTATGTGCTCAAGCCCCACACTGGGCGCATGTGGAGCCTACTCGAACGAATGAATGAATGATGAATGAATGAATGAACAAATGAATAGACAGACAGTTATGAAGACTAGGTAATATTTGGAAAAATGCTTATTATGTAACAATAGTTAAAGAAGACTCATGGAATGATGACAGTGTAAACTACACATGGAAATAAACGCTGCGAGAATAATACCAAAACAAAAATGGTTGTGTTGGGTTGGGTGAGATTTTGGGTCACATTTTTCATCTTTCCAGACTTCCCATAATATCATCAATATGTAGAATTTTTAAGAATAATCTGTGTTTTAAACAAAATGTAAATTGACCCTCTTTACATTAAATATTATAAAAAGATTCTGCTTAAATTTCAGGAAAGTTATTCCCTGGAATTATTACAGTGAGAGTATCAGGAACATCTGGTTTGGAAGATGGAAATTCTTTGGCCTATCAAGAATTACATATTCGAATTACTGATTTTGTAAGTATTTTCCAACCCTTTTCTCTGTATAAGTGTTCTTCTTTTTAACACTTTCTTGCAGCACATAGGGCTGGTGTTCAGGTAGTACACACTGGTATAGCTATCCCAGTTGCTGAAATAGTGAAAGGCACCCTTACTGGTTGGTCAGTTGCAGCTGTCCTGAGCCCCCTGGTGCCTGGTTGCTCAGGTCCTTGTCTGGGACCCTTGGCCCTCCCCATGATCTGCACCTACATGGGTAATACCCGGCATGGCAGAGGGCCTTTAGAAGATTTCTCCAGCTATGCCATGCCCATTGATAGAGAAGCTATTAGAATTTTTTTTTTTTTTTTTTTTTTTTTTGAGTAGCCATGCCCAGCATGGAGCACTTCATGGGGCTTGAACTCATGACCCTGAGATCAAGACCTGAGCGGAAATCAAGAGTTGGACGCTTATTCAACTGAACCACCCAGGTGTCCCTATAATATTTTTAAATGGACACATCAAAATAATTATGTTTTAAAATAAAATTATTTTTGTAGAATTGGAGAGAGAAAAAAAACTGAAGGGTTTTTTTCCTTTCTACAATCAAATTTACATACATTTCTATACCAGTCTGGCTTTTTTTTTTTTTTAAATGTTTGTTAAAGGAACTCTGTTTGAATTAATATCTGTCACTTTTCTCCACTGTTAAGAATCTCAAAATGAACACTAGCGTCATTTCATTTTGATTACTGTGAGTAAATGTGTCTGCATGAAAAGGAATGGAAATCTCCATTCTGGAGCCACAGATGTTAGATCTGAAGGAGCTTTTACAGGACCTTCAGCCAATGTTTCTGAAAGCTCAGCTTTAAAGAGAAAAAACAGTAGCCTGTAAATATGTCTTAGAACCCTAAGTGGAGAAACTCTTATAAAAACTAAAGAAAACATTGAAGACCATATCTTTCAATTCAGAATTATTTCACTGCAAAAGAGTTTTACAAGCAGAATTGGTAGAACATAAAACATCATTGTCCAGATGATTTATAGATAGCATGAGAGAGCTAGTGCTCATGACCAAACAGCCCATGCCTGGCGCTGCTAGGATAAAAACCATGGCTCTAGTAGCCCAGCCTTGACCTTAGCCCCTCGTCATACCACCTGAGCACAATGGACCAGCTGACCATGACTTACCCTCTCATCCCGGACCTACATTCCAGCTCTCCCACTTGGATGATACTCAGTATATTGAGGATAGCAACATCAGTGTGTTCCTAATTCCAGGGAACCCCTGTGTTGTCCCGTGGCTTCACCGAGCAGCGGCCACTATGTCGCCCAAGCATGCTTTGGATATGGGTGTCCAAAAGACCCCTCCTGCCTTCAGATACCAGTTTTAAGACCTGATCTCAGTCAGGTCTTAATTTCAGAGGGACCAGGAGGGGATAGAGCATTCTTCTAATTTTCAGGAAGCTCTTCTCCTGAAGGGGATAGCCAGAACTCTTTTGCAGCTTCCTGGAGACAGGAAGAGAGAAGCAATTGACTTTCTTCAAGGTCCTCTTAGCAGACACTTTGTAGCCCTGGGGCGTCCCAGCTCAGGCCCTGTGTGTCTCACAGGGTCCATTATCTACCCAGCTGGATCCAAACAGTCTACAGAGGGATTTGGAGTTCCCCTGATATGTATGGGCCTGGCATTTTATGTGTAATATTTCAAATTAAAACAGCCCAATGGAAAGGATGGTACTACGGTGCTATTTTGCTGATGAGGCCACCAAGGATCAGGAAGGTTAAGTGACTGTAGGTCACCCAGCTGATGAGGGAGGAGGTAGGGACTTGAACCCAGACCTCCAAGCTGCTTCTCGAACTTCTCCTCACCTGCTGGCTGTGTTGTACGGTAGAAGCCTGGCAGGCCTATTTGGGTAACTCCTGCCTTCTTGTCCAGACTTCAGTTTGAGATGTGTATATCCCAACATTCTCAAAGGGTGACCTGGAAGAATAAAAAAAGAAAAGAAAAAAAGGGAGACACATTCTCCTATGCCAGATGCTAATTTTGTAATCTCTCTTCTTTGAGAATAAGAAAATTAGATGGGCTCTTGTCAGTAGGCCAATGAGAGGGACTTTGGAGGTCATCCATTGAACTTCCAGGCCTCTGATGGTTTACAGAAATACCAGCTGCTCCTCGCATTTAAAAGAATTGAAAAAGGCATATAGATGTATTCTGGACAAAAGGCTACCCAGAAGAATGAGAGCGTCAAATTTATTTGAATTTGACTAGAAGAAAAGAGAAGTAACATCTTTCTAAAATGACATTGGTTGCCATGAAGAGAAAAATAATAAAAAGTCATGAATTATAAAAAGTTTGCACCAACCCAGTTCAGTGATATGTGAACCCAGTTCATATGATAAAATAGGGAGGCTGGGGCCCGTAGAGGGGAAGACTCGTCCAAGTCATATCTTCCACATTTAATCCATTCCATCATTTGTCTGCCAGTGTTTGTGGAACAGTTCCTGGGGGTTGCCCTGTGCTGAGTGCCGTGGACTAGGGGAGGTTATGTCATCAGAAAGAGAAAAAACACCCTATTCTTGGCATTAATGAACTTAACATGCTCATTGGGACCCTCACCCCAACTCCACCTCACCCCTGCTAGAGGTTCCAACTTTATCTCTGGCCCCTTGCAAGTATCTGGAGTTGTCTGCCTAGTAAGACGTACCGTGCTGGAGCCCCACCCAGCTCCCAAAGCCATGGGTCACATATTCCATCTCACTGGATACACACTGTAGCCCCCTGTGGTAGGAATTACTCTCACCTCCAGGTTTCTGAAGAGAAAGGTGAAGTTCAAAGCCACCGTGCAAAAGCTGACATGGAGAAATTTGGCTTCAGATATCCTTCCCCATTCAGCCTGCTCCCTTCTGAGCCACGCTGCTTCTGAACATCCCTGTGTAGACTCCTTTCCTCTCCCCATCCTGGCACCACTGCCTAAAATGCTCTAAGGCTGGTCTCCTTTCTGAAACTCCTCCTGGTTCTCGGCAACCGGAAGTGTCTTTGAATTTGTGTGGTAGATTGTGTTGCCCTGTGGCGTTCACCTCTCCCCGCTTCAGGGTGTAGTCCCCTGACTCATCACGGGGCAGGACCGCCTGTCTCGGCCATCTGTCTGTGGCATGATGCCTTGTCAAGGTGGGCGATTAAAGAAGTGTTCCCTGGGGGAATGGAGGAGTGCACAAAGCGTGCTTGTAGAGAAGTCTTTAACAGACATGCAAACCACATATGCAAAACTCCACGGGGACTTTGAAAACACAAACTAAGTTGGGCACCTTATTTTTTAAAAGTATGATCACTGATTGGGCTGGGTGCCTTGGGTCTTTTTCCTAGATAACTCTGACATTTCAGAACCATATTAGTGTAAAACAAAAATTAATCAAAAAGTGTTAGAGCCCATGTAAGCGACAGATTGCTGTGATGAGCCACGTGTATTTACACAAATGAGGTTAGAAATGTATTTGTGTGAAAACTCAGGTGTAGTATCACGTTTCCCCCGTCTTTGTGGTTATTAATACATCTCTTCACCTTCCTTCACAGTTTAAAAGCACATTTGCCAATTCTGATTACGGACAGACTGTGATCAATGAAGTAAGGTAAGTTTGCTATGGACCGATGGGATACTTGGGAGGCCGGTGTATGTTTGCCTAACTTTGGGTCTTCTCTCGAGTTCTCTGAGGCCCTTCAGTGGCAAATCATAAGAAGAGGTGGTCAGTCTGAGCACTGGAGAGGGCTATGCTTCCAGTGTCACACTGACCCTGGCCTGGATGGGCCGGTGGTACCTTGGGGCAGTAAGATGCTGTCTGTGATTGTCTCCTTAGCAACCTGTACAGGTGGCCCAGGGTCTCCCTCGGACCAGTTGGTTTGGTTTCATTCCTTGGCTAAAACCACACCTGGTCAACCCCTAGAATGTGCATTGCAGAGGGCAGGGAAGAGAAGGAATGGCTCACAGTTGTCTCTTTTCTCATGGGATGGGAAGTAAGGTAGACAAGAATATCCCAGTCACAACCTAGCTACTGAGGGGCCAGCAGTGAGCTCTTTCTTCAGGAATAACAAGCAATTACTGAGCATATCCATATGCAGTGACCAGTGCTGGATGCCACCTGGGGACCTAGAGAGTCAGAGGAGTCTCACAAAGTTAGTGATTCCATCATGGCCTTCTCTGAAGCATATCAATACATGTGCACTACAGGCTGGGGAAAGAAGGTTCTAAGGTGAATGGAGTTGTACAGAAAAGGCAGCCCTAACGTAGTTACATTTTAGGGTTCTCCTGTCGCATCTGTCTTGATGAGCTTTGTCAGATCCTTTGTGGAATAAGACACAGCATACCTGTTTGATACACACACATTCAGAGGAGACCTCCTATAAAGGTGGTGAGGTTGGAGCTTGGCAGTGAACAAGGGGCCAAGCAGTTGGTAGCCAGGAGGCCAGCGAGCAGCCTGATGGGGGAGGCATGGGGATCACATGGCGAGAGGAAGATGCTGGCCGACGCCCTGAAGCTGGATGTGGGTACATGGCAGACACCTGCTGGAGTGCCGTGCATTGTTCCTATCTGTGTCGCTTCTGGAATAGGGAACCCTACATGTGTGATAGAGAGCTGGTCCCATGGGATCATGGTGGGGAGGTTCCCTGATACTGTTGCATACATTCCCTTTTTAAAGGACTTATTGAAAGGGAGCCAGGAGCGTTCAGAGGCAACCTTCTACATAAGAGAGGGTTTCAGAGACGCATCAGCTCGGGTACCCCAGGGGATGTGCAGGGCCTTCTCTCACCTAGAAAGGCATTTCTTCGGCTCTGGTCCAGTGCCCTCTGCTCCCTGAGCTCTTTCTCTATGGCACCAATGTTGGAATCGGAAGGATCCGCAGAATTTCTCTCTCAAATCTCTCTTTGGAAAGAGGAGACAGGCTTGGGGAAGCTGTGACTAGTCTCGTTACAAGCCTACTGCCCTGATCATTTATGCTATGTCGTTTGTCATTAAATATGTGGTGGTTCCATTGTTCCTTTCATTGTAATATCTTGCCCCCTAAATTGGAGTGTGCTCTAGTAGCTTCTTTGAATGAACTGTGCATGGCATTTCTTTCCTACCCTCACTGCAAAAAGATACCAGAGATTTCTGGTCATTTTCAACTGATAAAGAATGACTTGTATCAAATACCCTTTTCTCACTGCCCTGTATATTCCCTAGCCACCCCTAAATCCTATCATGAATGAATCGTTTTACTTTAGAATCTGAAGTCCATTTTGTTTCGGGAGACTTCCTTTGGTGGTGACTGTTCCTAAACACAGAATTTGGTTCTGATTTTGGATTTTCTCGATTGTCCTGAAGAACTAACGTAGCTGTAAACATTTTCTTTTTTTTTTTTTTAAGATTTTATTTATTTATTTGACAGAGAGATCACAAGTAGGCAGAGAAGCAGGCAGAGAGAGAGAGAGAGAGAAGCAGTCTCCCTGCTGAGCAGAGAGCCCAATGCAGGACTCGATCCCAGGACCCTAAGATCATGACCTGAGCCGAAGGCAGAGGCTTAACCCACTGAGCCACCCAGGCGCACCTGTAAACATTTTCTAAGTAGGTTGGCTATGTTTCCAAGCTTCTGATGTTTATTCAAAAGTCAGAATGGAAAAAAAGAAAACAGGAAAAATATATCATGAGTCTTAAAAATGCATAGCCACAGGTTGAAGAGGGAAGGAGTTTTTGAAAGTCCTTTTTTCCCCTCCCTATCTCTCTCTTTTTTTTTTAAAGATTTTATTTATTTATTTGACAGACAGAGATCACAAGTAGGCAGAGAGAGATGGAGAAGTAGGCTCCCTGCGGAGCAGAGAGCCCGATGCGGGGCTTGATCCCAGGACCCCTGAGATCATGACCTGAGCCGAAGGCAGAGGCTTAACCTACTGAGCCACCCAGGTGACCCCCCCTTCCCTATCTCTTTTAGTGGTTGTATCACTTGATTCCTCTTAGGTGGTGGAAGAATTAGAACTTGGCACGGCGGTTCTTAGGGCTCCAAACTGTAGTGTTCATGTCTTGCTCATCGCAGGCACTTGGTAACTGGGGCTCTGATGGTGTTCTGTACCCCTGCTCCCTACGCCCCACCCTCCCTGTTTCAGTGTATCATGAGTACCAGCTCAGCAGGAGACCTTCTCTCGATTTTCTACAGAAAGGGGCAAGTTTCAGATGTTCTCTGTTCTACTTCTGGTTAGCTGCAGGCTTCTAGCTCCTAAAAAGGATTGTCCACAAGTTTTCTCAGTATCCTTCTGCAGGACATCGTTGGCTGGAGATTACTGCTGAGCACACGTGGAAGAAAGCCAGATCTCTGGGCCTATAAATCGCCATCTTCCTGCACCCTCAGGCCCACCGTATTCGGGCCCCAGTTATGGATAGAGGATAGTGGATCGGGACTAGAGCTGGGAGGGGTGCCTGGGTGGATCAGTTGGTTGAGCATCTGCCTTCAGCCCAGGTCGTGATCCTGGAGTCCTGGGATCAACCCCAACATTGGGCTCTTTGCTCAGCGGGGAGTCTGGTTCTCCCTCTGCCTCTGTGATCTCTCTCGATCTCATTCTCTCTCAAATAAATAAATAAAAATCTTTTTTAAAAAGGGGGGGTGGTAGTAAAAAAAAAAAAAAAAAAGGGGGGGTGGTAGTGCACCTGGGTGGCTCAGGTGTCTGCCTTCCGCTCAGGTCATGATCTCCAGTTCTGGGATCAAGCCCCATATCAGGCTTCCAGCTCAGTGGGGAGTATACTCCCTCTCCCTATACCTCTCCCCCTGCTTGTGCTCCTTCTCTCTCTCCCAAATGAATAAATAAAATCTTTAAAAAAAAAAAAAAAAAGGACTAGAGCTGGGAGACTGGGGAGCCTGGGAGGTTTTGAAGACCGGTCTGTGGACCTTTTAGTTCAGTTCATCAAGTGATGGATTCCTTTCATTTTCAGCATCTCGTCTTCAGCAAGATCAGAGATGCGTGCTGGCGACAGTGCTGTTGTGGTTAAGGTCTTAAACATCTTCGCAGAAACTACAAAAGAAAATGAGACGACTGTGTATGAAACAATTACAAAAGCAATTCAAAACAACATGAGTGATATGAAATACAGTGGTAAGTATTCAGTACTTTTCTTCGAAGTCCCTTGAAGACCCACTTTTTGTAAACATTTCTATTCTCTGTGAGAAGGGGGGTGGAAGAAAAGCAGGAGACTTGAATCCACAGATGGGCCCTGTTCCAGTTAACTAGTCATTCTTCCTCCCTCTCTTCCTTTGCCTGGTTCTATCCTTTCCAGCACCCCCCAATCCAAGTCATCACAGTGACCAGTTAGTTTGCTTCTCTCTTTGGAAGGTAGGAAGAAAGGAGAAACAAGAAGGCTTTATACCAAGTTGTAGCTTCCAGATGATCCCAGAAAGCCTTCCTTGCCCTGTTTCCCCTTCAGGCTGACTCATCAGCCCCCAGCACAGCTGGAACAATTCACTTTTGCTGTGTTACAAAGCACCCCTAAGCTTAGTGGCCTGAAACAACCACCATTTATTTATTGCCTTGCCGTAATTCCCCTCCCTATTGTCTTTCTGACCATATTTTGGAATTGTCTCTGCCTCTCAGCTCGAAGTCTGTGTGATTATTACGGTTGTGAACCAGAGAACGAGAAAGACAACTGTAACAATAGTGTGCTGTGTAAATGCAAGCCGGGGATGGAAAGACCTAATGCCCAGGTCCCTGTGTGTGTGGGTGAGTGTTCCACTTGCTTGTAAGTGTTCTTCGCAACCCATGTGTTCTCTCCTTTTGCATTTGCAAAATACGAGCTTTACTGCTCACGTTTCCATGTGCATTCCAGAGTCTGAGGGGTGTGGAGATGGGCTTTAGACCCACGGACCTGGTGAGGCAGCTCATATGCCTCTTACAAGGACCGTTTGGGTACGCAGCCAGGGAGCACCTCACTTTACCCAGGAAAAACAGTATTAAAAAATCATGTTCTGTGGCATAGCACTTTGGGGGTCAAAGGGGTTGTTTCTGAAAATAACTCAGAAATTTTCTTTTGAAGCTTCTGCTGTCAGGTGTCCCGACACTTGCAATGCAAACCACAGTAAGCAATGCTTAGTGAACGAGAACACTGGGAAGGCTGAATGCGTGTGCCTGCCAGGCTACAAGGAGAGTGATGGCGGGATCTGTCAAGAGTAAGAGAAGTCACTCCTTTCTCATCTTCCCACAACAAGAGCTAGCCACAAGGGATGGAATGTATAGCATATGCATGGGTTGGAGTGCTGCCATACGTTGGTAGGTGTAAGAGCACCATCCTATAATCGTTATCGGCATCGACAGTTCTAGAACATTCTCTGGGTGCTGGAACCGTGCTAGGTAATACGCGTCACACAGCAACACTGTCAGGAAAAAATTCGTTTCCCATTTGCCAGAGAGCAAAGTGAAGCTCAGAGAATGTCAGTAACAAGCCCCAGCTTCCAGGGTAGCAGCTGAGTGGCAGAGCCATGTGGCCTTGCCCCCGAGGGGACCCACGATGCTCTGTGCCTCTGGGCTTCAGCTTAGTTTGAATTGCTGGATCTCCCTGAAGCTCAGAGGATGGAGGGTTCTGTCAGTAGGAAATAGGACCACTTGGAACTGTGTCCCCTTTTCTGCCTTCCAGAGCTCCATGGAAGGTGCTCACCTGGAGGAGTGGGAGGACAAGGAAAGGAAGCGGAAGAGGAGAAGGAGAAGGGGGAGCAGGTAGAATGAAAGACAGATGGAAAGGAAGGCATGGCAGTTGGGTGGGAACTCTGATGTGTTCCCCACAGAGACTCTATACCGTGGTTTCCATTCTTGTATCTTAGGTGTGCGTTTGGTTACAGTGGAGTTCGCTGTGAAGACCGTGAGTATAAAAGTTTTGCTTTGTTATTAAGCTTCTGAGAAATAGGGAACACATTCAGAATTCTGCCCAGGATTCAAAGTCTCTGGTTCCCTTCAAAAAGAGCTAGAAAATCTGCCTGCAGTCTCTGTTCTGCGTCATGCCAGCCCATGCCTGCCTTGCGGTCATGGGCAGCAGCCCCCCTGTTAAAGCAGATAGCAGAACCCAGCCCAAGAGGTGGGCTCTGGACTTGGCCAGACCAGAGGAGGGCGTCCTGTCATTCTATTCATTTTCTCTTACTAGCAAGGATAAAAGACAAGTATATTCCAAAAATGTTTGTGGTCGTAGAAGAGCAGGACTAAAAACCCTTTAAATACTCAAGTCTTTTTGTCCCCAAGATGTTTACTAGCTTGTGATATGTTGTTGCCAGTTCAGTTGCTTCATTCTGTCCCACACTCCACCCCCACAGGATTGGGATAATACTAACTTTATATTTTTGATTATATTATATTTTAAATTTTATATAATGAACTAAAGATAGATGATCCAAGATGGAGGAAACATTACTGTTGGCCTCTCAGCCAGCCACAGAGTTGGTGGTGAAAGTGCTCTCAATTTCTACTGTATTTTGTTGTAAGGCTGGGTTTGCTAAGACTTCTCTTCCTTTTGGGCTTCCGGTGTGCATACCTACAAGATGAGAGGTTGGACCATATGACCTTTGAGGTCTTTTCCAGACTTGGACTGCACCCCCAGGAATCCAGGTTGGAGGTGGCATATATGGCAGTCACGAAGCAGAAAGAGACAGAGTGTTCTAGAACAGCTCTGTCCAACAGAAATGTAATGGAGCCTCATATTTAATTTCAAGTTGTAAAAACTCTAGGTACATTTCTTAAAAAGAAATAAGTGAACCTGATTTTAATAACATTTCACTTCATGTATCAAAAATATTTTTCAACATGTCATCATTGTAAGAGTTACATGACAAATTTTTTTTTTCTCTTATACCGTGTGTTTGAAATCTGCCATGTGCTCAGGCCACCTCATAGCCACATTTGCCGTGTTCGATAGTGTGAGAGGATACAGGTAGCCATGAGCCCTCCCCCCACTGATTCTAGCCAGCCTCTGTTAGTGACAAAATGTAACTCTAGCCTCATTACCCCTGCTTATCAGCAAGATGAGACTCGAGACTCGGGTGGGCAGCCAGAGGCAGTAGAGCTTAGGAAGGGATGCATCCCTCTGTTGAGATCTCATCTCCACAGAGCCCAGGAAGGCCCCGCCCCCAGACCGTGGCTGCCTCTGTGTCTATGGTCTTCTTTTATGTGACAAGGAAGCCTCTTTGATTGGGTTCTAAGGACACAGTTGTGGGGGTGGCGCTAAAGGAGATGAGCCACCCCTCCCCCAGCCTGCCACCCAAGCTGGCCCTGGTGGGGGTGGGAACTGCTTGGGAGCACAGGGATCTGTGCAGTACCCAGTGGGGGTTGCTTGTGGGAGGCTGTGCCTACTCTTTGCTTTTCCTTTTCAGAATTTCAGCTGATCCTCACTGTCGTGGGCAGCATTGGCGGTGCCCTCATTCTCTGCCTGGTGATCGCACTGATTGTCTTAGCAAGGTACGGAGGGAACGCGTCCCTTTCCCTAGGGCACATCACCACCAGCATCATGCTCAGGGTTCTTTTGCTGGGGCAAAAGAAGGAGATAAAGCGAAACCTCTCTAATACTGTTGGCTCTCTCTCTTACCTTCATTTGCTTTGGCTTATGGAAGCCATACGTGATTACTGAAGAGAACAGAAAAATGTGTAAAGGAGCACAATTAAAACATCACTCAGAACCTAACGACCCTGAGACAACTAATATTTTGGCATATCTTCCCAGATTTTTTCTTTCCAAATGATTTTTTTCCTTTTATTTTTTTAAGATTTTATTTATTTGACAGAGGGAGACACAGTGAGAGAGGGGACACAAGCAGGGAGAATGGGAGAGGGAAAAGCAGGCTCCCCGCTGAGCAGGGAGCCCAATGCGGGGCTCGATCCCAGGACCCTGGGATCATGACCTGAGCTGAAGGCAGATACTTAATGACCGAGCCACCCAGGCTCCCCTCAAATGGTATTATAGACATAATTTTGTGTCCTTTGTGTGGGTTTTGTTTGTTTTTAGAGAGAGACAAGCATGTGCCAGGGGTGGGAGGGAAGACAGAAGGAAGAATACCAAGAGCGTGGAACTCAACTCAGGGCTCAGTCTCACAACCCTGAGATCATTACCTGAGCTGAAACCAAGAGTCAGACATTTAACCAACTAAGCCACTCAGGTGCCCCATCCTTTGTGTTAAAAAAAATGCATTGTTGAACAGCTTAACAATGTCTATTTTTACTTAATTTTATAATGTGACCTAACAACCATTTTCTGATGGCCCTGAAACTCTCCATTAGTAGTTTTCAGCCACACTCATGTTGTTAAGGATCATTCCTCAAGGCCCTGGGCCCAGTACCCTGTGGCAGGGGGCCCGATCTGGGCTTCAGGTGAGCCCCGTGCCTTGTTCTCTCTGCAAAGCCATTTTGCAGGTGCCTTAAGTGCTCTTCGGAAGAACTTGAGTAGAGTCCTTTCATTTATTCAACAAATATTTAGATAAATTTTCCTGCATTAACTGGGAGAGAGAACACTGTTATCTCTATTCCATTCGAAATGTGCCAAGTGAGGATGCACTTTGGTAAAAACAAGCTGCTTGTGGGTGACACTTCGCTCATACCTTATATTTTGGCAAAAGAGGTATTTTTGCGCGATAATGTGAGAGAATAAATAGATATTGTTTCTTTTTTATTAGTCCAGTTTGATATTAACTCTTCCCCAAAGCCTTTATTACAAGGACGCAAAGCTGTGAACCAGAAGTGTGACTTTCCCTTTTCTAGGAAGATGGCCAGAACATTCTCTTCTGGAGCAAGGCTGCCTCCTCCTTTCATAGGAGGATTGCCTAACTGTCTTGGGTCTCCAGCATCCTCAGGGGCTCTGTGTGGAACCTTGTGACCCCATGACGGCTATGTTTCTCAGCTCCTGCTTCCTGCTGCAGAGCGAGGCTGGCTCCTAGTTCAGCCTCAGGTTCATGGTTCCTGGGAACACATCAAGAATTATTAATTGCTTGCCCATTCCAGGGGGAATGAAGCTTCTCTCCTCCTCTCCTTTCCTTGGTTAGACAGGAGTGTTCCCAAAGGGCGGGAATTCTTCCATAAGCTGGGCTGGCTCCCGGGTTCACAGGGTGAGTGGGTCTTCCCTTACGACATTTCCGGTAAGAGACAGTCATCCTGGGAGTGCCCTGTGGTCATCATTATTATAACAAAATTTGCATGAGACCAACCGAACTGGATGGCAGTGTTGGATCAGTGTTACCATTCTGGTGTTAATGGTTACAGAGAGCTTTTGAGGAGACTGTCCTAAAACTTAGGGAATGTACAGTGAACAAAGTAGTGAGGCATTATGGGTAGTGGGGTGTCAGGTATAAGCACTTACTCTTTTTTTTTTTTTATAAAAGATTTTATTTATTTATTTGACAGACAGAGATCACAAGTAGGCAGAGAGGCAGGCAGAGAGAGAAAGGAGGAAGCAGGCTCCCCGCTGAGCAGAGAGCCCGATGCGGGGCTCGATCCCAGGACCCTGGGATCATGACCCGAGCTGAAGGCAGAGGCTTTAACCCACTGAGCCACCCAGGCGCCCCATAAGCACTTATTCTTAATGCTGCAGAAATGATAACAGTTGGGGAATCTGGGTGGGGGCCCATGGAAGCTCTGTATAATTTTTGGTGTGTACCTTATATGTAAATTTGAGATTATTTCAAAATTTGAAAAAAAAATTTTTTAAAAGAACACTAACATTTGCTTTAAGGAACTTTCTGCCATTGTCAAATCCTAATTCTTGTCACCCTTTATAGCTCAAAGAACAAAAACAAGAATATTGAAGAAGAGAATTTGATTGAGAACGACTTTCAAAATCTGAGACTGCAGCAGACGACGACAGGCTTCAGCAATCCTGGAGCAAATGGGAGCATCTTCCCTAAAGTCAGGGCAAATGTCCCTGGTCAGCCACAGAATCCCTATGTGCACCAGAGGAGCTTGCCTCGCCCTGACTACTAGGTGAGTCAGTGGGCTGGAGAGGGAGTGGAATGCCAGGACAGAGCAGGGACAGGGACCAGGCCATTGTATCTTCATGTCCTGGCTGCAGGGTTTTTTTTTGTTTGTTTTTGCTTTCTGATCAAAAGGGAAAGATCAGAGAATGCCCCCTCCTCTTGTTTTTGTGTTTTTGTTTTGTTTTTGTTTTTTTTACTCCCTCTTATCGTTAAGGGGCCACCACTCGGTCCCTAACACTGACCATCTACGCGACTTGTAGACACATCACTTAATTTTCCTGGCCTTCTATGTCCTCAGCTATAAAAAAGAAAAACAATTTAGATGCCCTTAAGATCCCTTTACTTTATAAACTTTTCAGGATAGGACTCCAGTCATTGTGATGACAATTTCCAAGCTGTTTGAGGATCTAGGACCCAAGTCAGGGAAGAACTGTTGGATGTAAACAGGGTTCTGTCCCATCCTTCTAGCCTGCCCATGTCAAGGCAGATCTCTCCTTTCTCCCCACCACCCGCCCCCCGCCCCGCCAGACCTCAAGGCATAACCCAGTCAGTTTCTACAGAAATAAGGCAAGTGGGGCTGGTGCTGTTTTATTTCCCTTGGGAGGACTTTCAAGGAGCATAGCTTGTGTTCATTAGATTTGTATTGGATAGTTGTCCTGGCCTTGCTTACTGTGGTCTGAATGAATCTTTAAGAAGCAAATTTGATGGGGAAGGGAGCCAAGGGAACTGAGCTAGAAGGAGGGAAGTTGTGGGAGGAGAGAAAAAGGGACCAGAGAAGAGAGAGGCTAAAAGAAGAGCAGCAAGGGGAGAAATTACTTCCTAAAGAAGCAAGAACAGGGGAGGAGGGGAGAGAGGGAGGGGTGGGGGAAAGCCTAACTTCCAGAAGAGTTGAAAAATAAAGACGGTGGAGGAGGTGAAGGCAGCTGGAGGGCGGCAGAGGGGGCTGAGGAAGGGGCAGGGGCTCTGCATTCTCTGTGCACATTTCTCTTCTGCAGACTTCCCTGGGCGAGCACACCGCCCGCTGAGGCTCTCAAGTCGCTATGACCGTTCTTGGAAAACCTGCCTTGTTTCTGTTTTGAAAATCCATGATTTATTTTTTAAAGATTTTATTTATTTATTTGACAGAGATCACAAGCAGGCAGAGAGGCAGGCAGAGAGAGAGGAAGGGAAGCAGGCTCCCCACTGAGCAGAGAGCCCGATGTGGGGCTCCATCCCAGGACCCTGAGATCATGACCTGAGCCGAAGGCAGAGGCTTTAACCCACTGAGCCACTCAGGCGCCCCCCCATGATTTATTTTGCACGTGAAGTTTTCTTTAGTCGTAGAAGTCATTAGTTTCATGTGGGTACAAGGGGTTGACTCACACGAGGCGTGCCATGTTGGGCCAGACACGTGGTCTAGTCCTCAACAGCCAAGAGCCCAAGTTCTGTGGGAGTGCCTGCTGGCCCCACCCAAGGAGAACCTTAACCGCCAGACTCCTTACAAACCTCCCTTCCTCCTTATGGGGGAGCCTTCACATCAAGCATGCTCTCTAAAGAGAATGCCGTAGAGGCGAAAATAAGCATGGGATTTAGAGCATGGGTTTGACGCCTTGCCCCTTCTGTTAACTTGCATCAGCTGTGTGATCTTGGATAAGTTATTTACTTCTCTGGGTTTGTTTTCTCATCTGTGACATGGACATAAGGATTTTTATCTCCTAGGATAAAAATCAGATAAGCTACTGTGGACAGAGAACCTAGAACAGTGACTGTTCTAATTTAAAAAATAGTATTCAAACAGTGTTACTCGAAGTAATGGTACGAGTGGTTAATCTGCTCTTTCTCAGATAGATCTGTTGTAGTACTTCTTTTCTAAGAGTTTTGTTTTGTTTCTTTCCCCATGTCTCTCTTTCTCTCTTTTTGTCTAGAATGGTAACAACTGGGGACCCTCCATGGCCCTCTACCCAGTGTCTGAGCTTTTGTTTTGAGTGTTTAAAAGACTAATGGAGAAGTGAGCAGCCATGAAGATCCAGCCTTCGGAATTCCTCTGCCACCCAGCACCCAGCCTCTCTGGATGGAAGTTGTGACTGTTTTCAACGGATGCAGCTTGTTCGCTATGTACCTATCAAACTAAATGCATATAGATGCTATTAGCACTTGTAAGACGGATGATTTTGTCCCATCAGTACCATGGTTAGTTTGTTTTTTTTTTCCTGCTGGGGCAACAATAACCATTTCCAATCTAGAGGAAAGCCCCCAGGATTGTTGACTCCCGGGAGAATGTGGCTTTGAGTTGATCACCTGCAGATCTGTGACCTAATTCTGAGCGACTCTTAGGCGTCAGCTATGGATGTCCCAGGGTGTGGGAAGAAATACCATCTTTTAAGGTTCTCGGGCTCATTCTCTACTAAGTTAGATAGGATGCTACTTCTGTAAGTTAGATAGGATGCTACTTCTGTCCCTCCAGTGTAGGCATTTCATCACCCTTGCCCTGCCAGGAACTTGTGACCTGGCCTCACACCAAGGACACAGAAAAAAAGACATGTCTCTCAGCCTGCCCAGGAGGGCAGGATCTTTTTGATGTTAATCAGAAGGCCCGGATTAGAACTGCCCAACATGGAGTACATTCTAGAGTTTCTGAAATGCCAGGAACTGGTAGAGGCAGAGGAGGAAAAAACAAAAATAAAAACCATAGCCAGGAGTAGGAGGAGCAGAGGCAGAAAGAAGCTGGGCTGGGAGGATGAGTACAGGACAGTGCACGTGGGGTCCACCTTGGTCCTCAGATCCCCCTCCTTGATGAGCGAACGGACATTTCCTCCGATTCACGTCCTGCCCACAACTTGGAGCCTAAGCAAGTGTGAAGAGAACACGCCAGGAGTGAGAGCTGGAAGACACTTTGAAATTGCAGATTCTGTTTAGCTGATGGGGAAAGAGGGGGCTTCTGCTCAGGCTCCGGATGTCCGGCCTCGGGACGTAGACTCCAGAGCTCCTTTGTGGAAGCTTCGGCCTCCTCTGTGGCCACCAGCGTGCACACAGCCACAGCCAGCGCACGCTTTCTTTAATGTTAATAGTGTCCTTGTTTGTATCTAATGTCTGGTCCTCTTACAAATTATTTTTATTTGTTATTATTTGTTCTTACTATTAACTATAAGAGGTAATGAATAAAGTGTCTTTGGTAGATGGTGTCCTTCCTTGCGTTTGTGCCCACAGAGCAGTGAGTTCGTCCTTCCTTCCTTCCTTCCTCCCTCCCTCCCTCCCTCCCTCCCTCTCTTCTTTCCTTTCTTCCTTCCTTTCTTTCTTTCCTTTAACTTAAAAAAAAAAAAAAAAAAAGATTCACATTTATCTTTAGAGAGGTTAGGAGGTGCCGAGGGAGAGGGAGAGAGAATCTCAGTCATCCTCCCCGCTTGGCATGGGGCTTGATCGCACTAACCCTGAGGTCCTAACCTGAGCTGAAATCAAGAGCCTAATGCTCAACCAAATGAGCCACCTGGGTGCCTCTAGGCTCACTTCCAATAACAGACATGACACGTCGCAAACCAGACTGACTGATATCTGCAGTCCTTGTTAGACGACCCAGGGTAATTTTTTAATCGTGTAGTAGATGTTTCTGGCTGCTGTCCCATGAACATCCTACTTCTCTCCCATTATAAGCTGCCAAGCATTTTGGGTGGGACCATTCTGACCCCCAGTTCCAAGGGCCCAAGCCAATCAGTGGAACCCCATTTCCCCTGTCGTTGATGGGTTTAGTGAGCACATGGCATAAGTGGATGCAGTTAGAATAAAGCCTAGGACACCTGGGTGACTCGGTCCGTTGGGCATCTGCTTTCAGCTCCGGTTGTGGTCCCGGGTTCCTGGGATTGAGTCCTGCATCAGGCTTCCTGCTTGGTGGGGAGCCTGCTTCTCCATTTCCCTCTACCTGCTGCTCTGCCTACTTGTGATCTCTCTCTCTCTGTCAAATAAAGAAAATCTTAAAAGAATAAAGCTTAAATTTTACTAGGAGGCTTGGAGAAAGAGAAACTCTTTTTCTCTTGACAAAGTGGGCTTAAGGATATGAGGCCTTGGACTGCTTCAGTTTCGCTGAGCTGACGTTCTCTCTCTCTCTGTGTCAAATAAATAAAATCTTAAAAAAAAAAGATTTTATTTATTTATTTGACAGAAGGAGATCACAGAGAAGCAGGCGCCCCAAAATGGTTGACCTTTTTTAAAAAAAATATTTTATTTATTTATTTGAGAAAGACAGTGAGAGAAAGCATGAACTGGGAGGAGAGGGAGAAACAGGCTCCCCACTGAGCAGGGAGCCTGACAGGGCTAAATCCCAGGACATGACCTGAGCCAGAGGCAGACTTAACTGACCGAGTCACCCAGGAGTCCCAGATTGGCTGACCTTGTAACATGCCATCACAGACTTTATTCCTGACCTGCATGTTACCTCTACATTTAAGGATGATTTTTCCCCCAAGATTTTATCTGACAGACAGAGATCACAAGTAGGCAGAGAGGCAGGCAGAGAGAGAAGAAGGGAAGCAGGCTCCCCACCGAGCAGAGAGCCTGACGCAGGGCCCGATCCCAGGACTCTGAGATCATGACCCGAGCCGAAGGCAGAGACTTTAACCCACACAAACCTTGAGAGAGAGTGTGTGAACATGGAAGGAAGGGAATGGAAAAAGTAGACTTGGGGATCATGACCTGAGCTGAAGGCGGACACTTAACCGGCTAAACCACCCAGGTGCCCCTACATTTTTGAAGATCATTCTGGATTCATTGTTAGAAGTAGGCTGTTTGAACCTCTCTTCTAAAGAGTCCCCCCTTCCTTGTGGCATACTGGACCTCAGCGTGCCAGTTTCCATCACTTTGCAAATGTCCTGGGCCATACGAACTCTGACTTCATGACCAGAGTATCCCCCATTTTTCACAGACTCTCGTTGCTATTGCTTAAATAGAAGGAATTCTCTAAATATATGTGTAATGTTCATGAAATGACGTTCACATTCAAAGTTGCTTTTGAGTCTTACATAATATGACCTACAATTC